TCACCTTTTTCGTATGTCTCTCTCACCGGAAAACTTTTGAGCTTCTCTCTCTCTTTTTGCAACTTCTGGCGACGACATCTCTCTGATTTCTTCACCGTTTTCCTCATTCCTCTGCATCGGTTTTTGAAATTGATATAAGACTCGGAATCCACCAAATCTTATTGATCACAAGATGACAAGAGTTGACAAGCTATATGGATCGAAGATCGCCACGCAAAGGTGTGAAAGCCTTCGTGATGAGATCACAAGCCTAAATCTAAGTGATTCCACACAAAGACAGAGACTCACACGAAATCTAGAGTGAGGGAATCCACACAACARTCAAGAACTCGCACGAATACAAGAGAAGTGAATCCACACAACTCAAAGTAAACAAGAACACAAAAGAACAAACTTTTGTAAAAGAAACTTAAACGTTTTTGATTAATTCATTGGTGATTTATAATGATGAATGATAAGAGCTTTATATAGGCTCGTGATCAACTAGTAATAATGCTACATAATTCTTAAACAAGAAAGTAATAAATCAAAATAAATATCACTCAATCAACGGTTTGATTGATATGGTCTTTATTACTTGATTTTTGGTCAAATGAGGGAAATGTGAGGTTCTTTATATCTAGACAACTTGGGCATGAAGTAATGACGTCTTGGGGGTCTCTTGATGATGTGTAACATCTCCAAGCTTCCAAAACGAAATAAATCAAAAAGATTTACCCGTCGGACCAGATTTGACGTAATTGACTCCAAATAAGGAAAGTTGAGGTGTGAAGAGATCCARTTGATCKCATACWTGTTGATGCACTTTAATGACMTCTCAATTGTCTRTAWAAGAAATAAAATCTCTCCTGGATGCCATACACGAATCTTCAAAGTGCCAAATATGAAAAGTGCCATCTTTTGATCGGTTTAATGTCTCTCAGGTTAGTTGCCGGTTTGTGAGCTGATCTGAACCAATCTTGGCGTGGTCTTGGTTGTTTTGGACTCTCTTGGTAGTTGACAGATTGTACTTGGTTTGGTCTTGTGATTCTTGGGCTTGAATGGGCTGGAATTCTATTTGAGAGGCTACTCGGTCTTTACAGTCAGAACAGTCTCGGATGATTAGTGTAATGGAACACGTCCGGCTTGTTCCAACTCAGATTCTGATTGAATCATCTTCTTCTCCTCTTCAAAGGTAGGTATGGTATTGAGGTCTGCATCAGAAATGAGGCAAATGGTGGTTTCCGATCTTCCATTGGATTTGGTGGTGGAGGTGCTCTCTAGGGTTCCGTTGACATCTGTGAGAGTAGTTCGATTTACTTGCAAAAAATGGAACACTAAATCCAAAACTCGGAGCTTTATAGAGAAGCACATTGGTCAACTAAAAGCAGAAATGGAGAAGAAGGACGAGTCTCTGGCGATCATGTCGATGGATTTAGGGGTTTATCTGATGAGCATCAATCTCCGTGGAATTAACGACAAGGTTGAATCATCCATAAAGCAACAAGGTAAACTCATTACCAGAGCTAATCGATGTGAAATACGTTTAGAGAGTCAGTGCGACGGTTTGTTCTTATTCATCAAAGGCGACGGTGAACAACCTTATAGGCTTGTGGTTTGGAACCCTTATTTTGGGAAATGAGGGTTTATCAAACCCAGAACTGCTACATGTAGTTTTGATTTGGATAGGTACGTTCTCGGAT